TACACACGTCCCTGTTGGGCTATCTTGGCACTTGTGCTGCCGTAGTGGCAGCAACCAACTCTGGTGAGTTTGTAATTCACTGGGGGATGGTGATGGTTATTCACTATTGATGGTGGTGGATGGACATTCACTGAACATTTTTTTTTTCATAGATTTATTGAATATTTGATTTATATGGACATTTATTTATAAGCACTCATTATCATTATCACTTCACTTTGTTTATTTAGCGCTGCGCTTTATATATATAATGTTCATTGAGATATTGATTAAAATCTTACTTTTCAAAAGGGGTGTACGCATTTATGCTGAGCACTGTAAATATGATACACTTCCCCTTTAGGTGCAATGAAACAGTAATGCAAAAACAATGAAGAATAACAAGAAAAATTAATTAGTGTAATTTGATGATAATATTTTTAAAAATAAAATGTTTTAAATAATCACGTCAAAGTGATACTCCAGCCCCTGATGATGTCTCTTAATGATGAAACACGTTGTCGAAGCTTAGCAGGCCGACGTGATCACTCACATCGGTAGGCAGCGTTCCCATGGCTGTTTCTTCCTTTTCTAAGCATCCATCTGTTTTTATTAATAAGCCCATACTTTTACTGGATTGTGCTATGTATTTTACCTTGTTCCTTTTCATTATTATTATTATACAGTATTTATATAGCGCCAAAAAGTTTACTCAGCGCTGTACATTATAGTGGGGGACAGTACATGAGACAATACAGTAACAATACAATACACGAGGGGTTCCAGTGCCCTGCTCCTTGGGTTACAATCTAGGAGCCCTATACATGATATCACTGAGGAAGTGAATATTTGCACAGTGTGGCAGTCTGCTGTGTCGGATTCTGTGGATTACCCATAAGCACTCATGACATCATGGTTTTAGGGTACTAGGCTCCTGGTAAGAGACTCATATTTGTTTTGGTGGAGGAGCACTGATGGTGCCACAAGTGGATATTGTTTACACAAGCACAATTATGCGGAGATGGACTTTTTCCTTGTGTGTATTTGTCACTTTGACTATTTAAAACATCTCACGTGTTTCTGAATTATTATCACCATTTTACACCTGTTCATTTTATCATTATTCTACATTGTTTTTGTATTGTTTCATTCCACTTACAGTGAAAGCACAACATAATTAAATTTGGAGTTGATCGGCCACGGTGAAAAATCATCAGTCATGTTGCACTGATCACCAGCACTGAGATGCTTTGGCCATGAATTTGATTTTATTTCTATCAATCAGATTATGAGATTGCATAAGTGCCCAGTCATACTGATGCGATTTCAGTTGCAATTCGTGAATACAAATTACACCTGAAATCAAATTTAATGAATGTGAATGTCAGTGTCTTAAAATGTGCGATTTGCTGCAGCGTGATTTCTAAAGTAGTTTTTGCATAACTTTTTCTGTAGTTTATTGCGATTTCACATACATAAAATATAATGAAAGTCGTAAGAAATCGTTAAAAATCTACACAAGTCACAATAAAGTCTTCAGAAATCGCGCACACAAATCGAACGATTAGAAATTGCAGCAGTGTGACCAGTGACAGTTAGAACTTGATGGGTTGCTATTTACAAAAGCACATTTTCTTCTCCGCCTTATATACATAAGCCCCACTGGGAGCAAAGAAAAAAGAGCATAAGTGGAGAGGTTGCCTATACCAGTGTTTCTCATCCTTTTTTCAGTTAAGTCACCTTTAAAATTATGGACAGACCCAAGGCACCCTTTATAATTATGGACAGACCCAAGGCACCCCATTCTAAAATGTGAAAAACTATTCTAATAGTTTTATATAACTCAACAACATCCACACATGTAGGACACCCAACATTAGAGGTGATTTATTCTTCCAAAACAAATACACTTTTGCACACTGATACTGACTAGTATTCCAATGTTTCTCTTCTCCATCAATTTTTCTCCATCACTGAGCTAATGTGACCCCAACACTGATGAAAATGGGCAGGGGAGCATCAAACTAGGATGCTGTGCATGAATGAGTAGGGGATAAATAGTACCCCTACTCATTCACCAAAAAAGTGTCAAAAGTGAATAAAAACTCAACAACAGTTTGTGACAAGTCCTTTGTTTTTAAAAAAGTTGTCCTCCGAAGTAGATCCAACGTCAAATCACAATGAACGGCGCCGCCACTGACCTGAAGAAAAAGAAAAAAGCGCTCCACTCCTGATGAAGGCCCCCGCCATCTGCAAGTTTTTAACATCATCCATACCAGACCCGAAGGGCCTGATATGTATTGGAAGGGAGGGACTCCCCACTGCTTTTTTCCCATTTTTTTTTTGTAAATTGCCGGCAATAGGTTTGTTTATATTAAGATGTTGTTTACTGGTTGTTAAGGACGCTGGCGGCCGCCCGCCCTTTCACATCCAGCTAAAGTCACTCAAAATGCATAACAAATGCAAAAGAAAAAACACACATCAAAAACAGGTGTGGAAAAAAAAATACATTACGCATTAACTGAAATCTGCATAGATGTGAACCTAGCCTTATACTGCTTTACACCCCGGTCACATTCGGGTGTGACTTGGAAATTGTATGCCAGTCAATAAGGTGCCTATTGTCCACTATTAGAGCAGTTTTGGTTGGAGCCGCACCGATTTCTAAAGTAGTACATGCACTACTTTTGGTGCGATCTGCATAGACATCTGTCTCAGATGTCTTGCAAATCGCAACTGAAATTGGCAGGTCACCTGATTTTGAAATCGTGCGACTTCACTGTAAGTTGCACAATTTCAAAGTCGGCTTTGATGTGAGCGGGGGCTTAATTCCTGAGTCTGCCTATTATGAAGGGTTTTACTCTCCATTGGTAATTTTTAGATAAAGGTAGAACAATAAGATAATGAAACGTCCTGCATATAACAATGTGGTCTCTGAGGTTCTTGGGAAACGTTTGGTCGTTTTGACAGACCCAATGTATTTCCCACTAATTTCTCCAATTACTGCTTGGAAACCTCAGTGAAATCAGAGTGGGATTTGACTAAATGAGTTTATTGCCCCCAGCAATCCCTCTCTCTGCTTGAGCTGACTGTGTCCATAATCAAATTCAACAACTTTTGCAGCAGCTGACAATTCATAGAGTACACAATCACCGTTCAGCGACAGCTGCTGCCTGCTAAAAAGCAAACAAGCGTGGGGCAATGAAGGGCCACACACACAGGTGGTACAAATGTGACACATATGGATCAACTAATTGAATGGAATTCAAAGAAAAACACAGAAAATGCATGCCAGTCCTCCTGCTTCTCCATCAGGTGTTAACCCTCCATAAATTCCTTGTGGAGAATCCACTTTTGAACGGTAGCATAACTATGACACATGCTCACAAGGATCTAGATGCTGAGAGAAACAGCTTACTGCCCTCTGAAAAGCAATCTGCGGAGGATCAGAGGGTGGCACAGCAGCAGCTGCCAGGCATACAGGAGGTGATCCTGCTGCCTCCTGGATGTCTGTTTTTTTAACCTGAAAGGGATTTTGTATTAGCCTAGGTTTGCACTATGAATCAGATGTGAATCGCACAGGTACCACACTGCATTCCTGTACAAATTACATGCCATTCAGTTAAGGTTGCCACCTCATCCCTTTAAAACCGAACACATATTAACCATTTCCCAACTGCGCTATAGATGAAGGAAGGCTACAGCGCAGTTGTGTAGTTTTGGGACAACGTCCATGGATGTCATTCCAGCTACGGACACAGCTGATCATGTGATACGGTAAACGGCCAATCATGGCAGCCTTTTACCACATGATCAGCTGTGTCCAATGACACAGCAGATCACAGGTAAATACAGTTGGCGGTTATCGGCTGCACTTTCCTCATACTGTCACAGCGTGAGGAAAGTATTGCCGAGAACCGGCAATTGTCAGCAAAGGGATCGGCACCAGGGGCGGACTGACAACTCAGGGGGCCCCCAGGCAATAGGGATCATGGTGCCCCTGTGTCCTTGCCCAAACTCAAAAAAGCCTATGAAAAAGGTACCAGGGGTATCTCATGGGGCCCCCTACTGACCCCGGACCCTCGGGCAGTGCCCGAGTTTCCAAATGGTCAGTCCGCCCCTGATCGGCACTGATCATTAGTGCACTGATGATCAGTGCCCATCAGTGCCGCCCACCTGTATCCATCAGTGCCACCCACCTGTGCCCAGCAGTGCCACCCACCTGTGCCCAGCAGTGCCACCCATCAGTGCTGCCCAGCAGTGCCGCCCAGAAGTGCCACCTATCAGTGCAGCATCATCAGTGCCACCTATCAATGCTGCCTATCAGTACTTCTCATCAGTGCCCATCAGTGCTGCCTATCAGTGCAGCCACATCAACGCACGTCAGTGATGGAGAAAAATTACCTGTTTGCTAAATTTTATAATAGAAACAAAGAAAACCTTTTTTTTTTTTCCAAATTTTTTGCCTTTTTTTTGTTTATAGCACAAAAAATAAAACACCCAGTGGCAATTAAATACCACCAAAAGAAAGCTCTATTTGTTAGAAAACAATGTTAAAAATTTCATATGGGTACAGTGTTCCATAACCGCGCAATTGTCATTCAAAGTGCGACAGCGTTGAAAGCTGAAAATTGGCCTGAGCAGGAAGGGGGTATAAGTGCCCAGTAGGCAAGTGGTTAACCATTTGCCCTCCAGAGGATTTACCCCACTTCCTGACCAGGCCATTTTTTGCGATATGGCGCTTCATTACTCTAACTGACAATTGTGCTGTCATGCAATGCTGCACCCAAATTAAATTTACATCCCCTTTTTTCCCATGAATCGAACTTTCATTCGCCTGTGTGTTTTTTATTTTTTGAGCTATAAAAAAAGACCAACAATTTTGAGAAAAAAACAATATTTTGGACTTTTTGCTATTAAACATGTCCAGTAAAAAAATGTAAAAAATCAAATTTCATCATAAATTTAGGCCAAGACGTATTCCGCTACATGTCTTTGCTAAAAAAAAATCCCAATATGTGTAAATTAAGTGGTTTACGTGAAAGTTCTAGCATCTACAAATGGCGGTATATATACTGGAATTTTCATTTTATTTTTACTAGTAATGGCGGTGATCAGCGACTTATAGTGGAACTGCGGTGGGCATTCTAACACTCTGGGGAACTGACTTGGTGTCACTGACATCCCCAGTGACACCAATACGGTGATCAGTGCCAAATAAAAAGCACTGACACTGTATTAATGACAATGGGCAGGGAGGAGTTAACATGTGAGGTGCTCAAAGGGTTAACTGTGTTCTGTTTTACTGTAAGCTGTGTGAGTGCTTTCCACAGCCATACAAAGCAGTGTGCAGGAGCTGACAGAGGAGAGAACTGTATTGTTTACATACAGTCCTCTTCCCCCATCGGTAATGCTCAACGATCACCGGCTTCCAGCGACTAATCACGGGACGTAACCTGGTGATTGACAGCCGAGGCCGCAAATTGTGGCGCGGGTAGGGCACACTCGCCCCCTACTCGGTGCAAAATCACATACATATATATACAGTATATACATGATTTTGCGCACCCCTGCCACCCTGTAGCAGTATAAACGTTGATTATTCTATGTGTACATGGACACATAGGATAACATGCTGGGGGGTTTACTTGCTGTAGAAAAAAATATCAAAAGCCAAAAACAGCCGCTGTAAAAATGTCCCGTGTGCATGAGGACTTAGGGCTCATTCACACCATAGAAATGAAGTCCAGATGCGTTTCCGCATGTGCGTTTTTGACATGTTCCTGTGTGTTTTTGCCACGTTCTGGTTAATTTTTTTCCACTCTGTATTTCAGTTTTGTACAGGAAAAAATGCAGCCTGTTCTACTTTTTTTTCTGTAACGCACTGGAACTGTAAGCACTGATGTGGACTATGACATTGACAACCATATAACCTACTTTCTGTGCATTTTGGATGCAGAAAAAAAGCAACTGAAACGCATGTAGTGTGAACTGGCCCTTATACCCTACAGGAACAATAAGTACCTGCAGATCCAACTGAAAATTTGCCAGATCAATCCTGGTGCTTTGGAAAGAATAATGATCTGATATCCGATAAAGTCTCTTGTTAACAATTCCTTCCCCCCCCCCCCCCCCCCCCCCCAGTTCCTGACTCTGTTCCCCTGAACATTGACAAGTGTCTGATCCAAGGTAATACTTCCATTATCTAGACTGTTACCTCAGCTCAATGACAACATATCTGAAGTCCTTCCAAGCACTGCAGGAATCCCCCAGAAGGGACATCCTATGGGGAAAGTTGATTGACTGGCCTGGATTTCCTGACTACTTGCCATTGTATTCTCTCAGTGGTGCCAGGAATATCTGCAGAATGCTTCCGGCCAAAATGAATAAACTTGAAAGTTTGTTCAATGTCTACATGCTTATAAAACAATATTTTATAATAAAGATTGCCTGGCCTCTGGATTGTGCATGTATTGCCGGTCACTATGTGAACTTGTTAAGGGCCAGCTCACACCAGATGCAGTCCAGTGCGTTTTTTTTCTACATTAAAAATGCACGCACAGTGTTTTCCATGTATTGCAATGACCCTAGTTCACACCAGTGCACTCAGTTCCAGTGCAGAAAAAAAGTAGAACATGTTGCATTTTATTTGCAGAGAACTGTACTGGAAAATAACAAAATGCATCAAAAACGCAACGGAATGGAGTGTGGTGGGAACTGTAAGCAAAAACACATCTGGGGTGCTTTTTTGTGGTGTGAACTGGCCTAACAGAAAGCTACCTAGCATTATCAGAAAGAAATGCCTGTAGCGGAAAAGAAAAAAGAATTAGCGCAGGGCAGGCATGACTAGGCCTAGAGTGGGAAGGAAGAATAGAAAGGGTTAAGTATAGTGCCAGGGGGTTTGAAAAGTATAGCTGGGGAGCTGGTTGGTAGAGGGAGAGCGTGGGTGGGCTCTTCTGCACCTTAGGGTGGGGTGTCCTGGTGGGGGGGCGTCAGTCGGAGCTGGACGTTGGTGAGAGAGCTTCCCTCCCACCCTCCCTTTAGTGAGTATTGTGTTCCTCTCGGGGGGGAAAGGGGGGTTATTTTGGTTCATGGGCGGTTGTTGGTCTTTGGAGGCCGTTCTTATCTTGAAGGTACAGATAATGGTGTGGGACCCATCGGTGGTATGGTGTGCCCGGGGACATTCCAGTTAACCAAGGTTTAACTGGAAGGTGGTGGTGTTGCACTGCAGACGGTATGGTTGTCTCCGAGCTGGTTGGTTGAGGCTCAAGGCCTTGTGTAATATGGTTGTCCGCAGGTGCATTTCAGATCATTTTTGGGGGGTGCCTGCGAAGACCAACAACAACTCGGTATGTTTCTGTTATAAGGAATGGTTGGTGTGTTAAAACGTGTTTGTTAATAAAAGCCCGTGTTGGCCATTTTACTCCAAAATTGGTGTCATGTTTTCTTTACGTATAATTAAAAAGGGGGGGGGGATCTGGATGAACCTATCTCTGGTGCACTAGTCAAGATGCCAGCAGGCACAGCCTACAAACTTCTGTAAGTTCACCTTTACCAAAAAACTGCTATGCAGGTAAAGGATGCCTGCACATAAAAACAAACTGGGCAGCTTTGACTATCTTGAGCTATAGATGTCGGCCATTTATGTATCTCCAGAAGCCTGACCAAAAAAACTCCTACAGACGGCATGATTCTGTCCTGCTTTTTTGCTAGGACTTTGCTAAGACAATCCCATTCTTTACTGCCCCCCCCCCCCACCAACACTGAAGTCGGCTCTGAAACCCCGACACCAGGGGCGGACTGACAACTCATGGGACCCCCGGGCAATAGGAGATCATGGGGCCCCTGTGTCCTTGCCCAAACTCAAAAAAGCCTATGAAAAAGGTACCAGGGACATCTCATGGGGCCCCCTACTGACGCCGGGCCCTCAGGCAGTGCCCAAGTTTCCAAATGGTCAGTCCGCCCCTGCCCGACACATGTGTGGTCCCCTAGCTGCTCCAGCACAGCAGTGCTGAGCTCAGAGCTACTGTAACAGGGGAGGGACAGCACATTCATTTGAATCAGCCAAGAGCCTTAAGGTGGGAATACACGATTATAAAATCGACAATTGGTAATTTGATGACCGAGAGGCATTCGTTCGTTGGTCGAAATCATGGCCCACATTAACCTCCTCGGCGGTATGATTCTTTATGATTTTTTGTGCTGAAAGCGGTACCATTTTTTTGCATGGAAATATGTAGTTTTTTATTGTAGGCTGTAATTTTTAGGAATAACTCACTGAAATCTGTATGAACAAGAGTCTAGTAAACATTCCGGATATGATAAACCTTGAAACACGAAATCATAAATTATAATTTAATAAATAATCATAAAAAATAATAATATAATAATAATACATTTAATTTAATAATATAATCAAACCAAAAACACTGAAATTTGAAATACAGAGGAAAATTCGCACATCGCTGAGCAAAGTCGTAAAATTGTTTTCAGTGTCTGATGACAAATTTCCCCACGAATCATTATCACTCAATTCTGCAAGTGGTTCTGATTTACTATCGCTGTTCTAAAACCGCTTTTGACGTAAAGGGACGCTTTTTGGACGCCATGGACTCTTCTAAGTTTCCAGGCAGAAAGAACATTCAAAATGCAGGCAGGGCACAGAACAAAGCAGTAGGACAAAATGTATGTGAAATGCATTGAAACAGCAATGACAGCAAAAATGACATTTTTTTAAAATTTTCAAATTTCCCGACGTCACACGGACCGGAACACAGAAGCCGGATGCCGGCATCGGCCGGAGGAGATGGCTGGGGACGCTGCAGGGGACACATTGCGGGAGCGAAGGACAAGGTAAGTGCTGCAGGGACCCCCTGAGCAACGCCGCATGGTAAGCCCGAGTGTAGCTCGGGGTTACCGATCTTGGTATTGAAATTTTACCCCGAGCTACACTCGGGAATACCGCTAAGGAGGTTAACCAATCTAAAAAAAAAATTGTTCGTCGGGCAATGCGTAGTGTTGACATCTTCCATACAAGTGGAAGTGATGCAGTGTGCGTGTGACCTTGTAGCCATTAGCTTTTCTTGTGAGTGCGTGTGACCTTGTAGCCATCGCCCTTCCAGCCAGAACGAGCGATATACACAACAATTACCAGCAATGAGTATAATATAGTTTATTACATTATCTATATACATAAATAGTGATACATAAAATATAATCTGCAGAATTCAGGTTTCATTATCTCATTAAGCCAATCTACTTTTTAACATTTGGAATTTTCGTTCGTGTTTACGAAGATTCCTTGGACATAAACATCCGTGTCATCTTCTGTTTCTGCGTGATAGCGCTTGATAGATTTTTTTCGTACAACCGTCGTACCAACGCATAGAAAATTGGTAATTCGGATGCAAAACGACAACATTTTTCACTGTTGTTCAAACTGATTTTTTCGTTCACAATATCATTGTCGGTTAAAACATCCTGCTCATCAACAAAGAGAAAATCATTCGATCAGTGGTTCTGTGAAATTTTTGTACGATTTTCTTATCGCGTGTAGGGACATTAGCAATGTCCTAGCAACATGGCAGGATGGGATGATGCCATCTCTGGGAGTTTTTCCAGCCAGGCTTCGGGAGGTATATAAAAGGCCTACACCTATAGCAAGGGCATTATTTAATGTTGGTCAAAACTGCACAGTTTTTTTTAGCTACAGCCACCTCTTCCTTGCACTTTTCTGGTAAAGGTGCACTAACCAAAACTTTCTGCCCTGTAATAGCAGCAGGCTGTGGACTTCGACCATATTTCATTTGACACCCTATATGGATGAAATTTGCTTTAAAATTGGAGTTAGGCTTTAACCGCTTCCCGAAACACTGCTACAAAATGCGCAAAATCACACACACACACACACATATATATATATATATGTGTGATTTTGCATTTACGGGTAGGGGGCGCACGATGTCAATCACCGGGTCCTGGTTGGTGATTACTTGTAGGCGCCCGGTGATTACTGAGCATCTCCAATGGGAAGGAGAACTGTTTTGTTTACTAACAGTTCTCCCTGTCAGCTCGGGCACACTCCTTTGGATGGCTGTGCACAGCACAGCCATCCAAAGCAGTGTGCTTACAGTGAAGCAAACTTACACCACCCCCTAGTAAAACACACCCAGCATACAGTTAACTCTTTGATCACCCCTCATGTTAACCCCTTCCTGCCCAGTGCCACTACTACAGTGCCAGTGCTTTGTGTAGACACTGATCACTGTATTGGTGTCACTGGGGATGTCAGTTCCCCCCAATGTTAGAATGTCCGCCGCACTCCCACTGTCCCACTAAAAGTCACTGATCGCTGCCATTACTAGTAAAAATAAAAAATCCCAGTATATATAAAGCCAGTTGCAAACTTTAATGGAAACCAATTAACGTACACGTATTGGGATTTTTTTTTAAGCAAAGACATGTAGCAGAATACATTTTGGCCTATATTTATTGCGAAATTTGAGTTTTAACATTTTTTTTTACTGGATATGTTTAATAGCAAAAAGTAAAACATTTTTTTTTTTCTCAAAATTGTCGGTCTTTGTTTTTTCTAGTGCAAAAAAAAAAAAACGCACAGGCGATCAAATACCGCCAAAAGAAAGCTAAATTCATGGGAAAAAAAAGGAAGTAAATTTAATTTGGGTGCAGCGTTGCATGACTGCGCAATTGTCAGTTAAGTAATGCAGAGCCGTGATGCAAAAAATGACCTGGTCAGGAAGGGGGGTAAATCCTCAGGAGGGTTAATACAGGATTAACACTACAGAAGTGCAAACTGTGTAAATCATATTAAAAATGTACTTTAACCACTTCCTGTCTGATGTATATATTAAAATGTCCTGAAGGCAAGTGGTCAAATCAGTATCGTGGCTGCAGCTGTAGCCTTGATCCTGGTACCGTTTTTTCAGCCGGTGATTAGCTGTCATGTAAAAATGATCTGGATGACTTGACAGTTCAATCACTTTTACAGCGCTGGGACTCCTGATGTCTCCATAAAGAGTACCTGTCACCTGCCCAAAGCTATCACAAGGGGGCTTTTTTGGCCTCTTCTTATAGCAATAAAGTTATATGAGAAAAAAATCTTTAACCACTTAAGGACCCCCTGCAATGTACTGCGGATGGGCCCGTATAGACAAAGTGATGTACTGGTACTTTGCTGCCTGCTTCCTGGTTTAGGGCACTGATACCTGCTGTGATTGTACGGAACGGGAGTCTGTCATCAAGTCCTGGCAATGATTCATGGCCTGGACCTGCTGATCGGGTGTGTCCAATCACAACCCAGAGTCCTGTGTTCACAATCAACACAGGGCTTTGTACAGAGAGAATGATCTCTCTGTTTTTTATCTCTGCAAAGCAAAGGGTAAGAAACAAAGAGATCTGTGTGTAAAAGAGCACATTACACATGGTTAGGCACACATTTAACCCCTTGATCTTCCTAGATGTTAACCCCTTCCCCGACAGTGTCATTAGCAGGGGCGGACTGACAACTCATGGGGCCCCCGGGTAATAGGGGATCATGGGGCCCCTGTGTCCTTGCCAAAACTCAAAAAAGCCTTTGAAAAAGGTACCAGGGGCATCTCATGGGGCCCCCTACTGACCCCAGGCCCTCGTGCAGTGCCCGAGTTTCCAAATGGTCAGTCCGCCCCTGGTCATTAGTACAGTGTTATTGTGTAGTATTATCACTGATCACTGTGTTAGTGTCACTGGTGATGTCAGTGGCAGTTAGTCAGTTCCCCCCAGCGTCAGTTAGTGTCAGACTGCCCACCGCACTATCTCAGTCGCATTATAAGTCGCACACACACATGTTAATGTTGTGCACCCCACACATGTGAGGTATCACCGCAAACATTATAGTGAGAGCAAAAATTCTAGCACCAGACCTCCTGTGTAACTCTAAACTGGTAACCTGTAAAGGTTTTTAACCACTTCCCGTCCGGCCGTTGTATATAAATGGCCGGACGGTGGCACTGCAGGGTTGGGTGGCCGTCTATAAACGGCCTCCCCGCACCCTGCTTGTGCGTGCTCCCTGGGAGCGCGCAGCACCACGATCCGGTGCCCGCTGTGTCCTCCGGACATAGTGAAACACCGATCGTCGGACGGGACCTCTGTACGAGGTCCCGATCATGTGATCACTGATTGGCCAATCAGTGATCACATGCAAAGTAGTAAGCAAGATGTCACTTGTGACATCATTGCTTACTACGTGTGAAATCTGTGAATGATCACAGAGGTCACATGGTACAAGGCTATTCACAAAAGCCTTGTACCATGTGACAAGCTATGACCAATCACAGCTCACTCAGTACTTCTCAATGAGTGCAAGAATGCACACAGAGAGAAAGAGAAATGATTGCTTTTACATCCTATATGGGTGTAAAAGCAATCAGTGTAAAAAAAAAAAAAAAAATCTTCATCACCCCCCACAAGTAGTACAGTGTCACATGGTGACACTGTACTGCTAGGGTGACCGTATGTAAAAAAAAAAAAAAAAAATAATAATATAAAAAAAATAAAATAAAAATGTAAAAAAAAAAGTTTAAAAATTATAATTTTTGCTTTATAAACTTTTTATTTTTTTTTTTTTACTAAAAAGATAACAGAATAAATTTTGGCTAAGATTTATGATGAAATATTATTTATTTGCAAAATTTTATAAAAAAAACACTTTTTTTCAAAATTTTTGGACATTTCATTTACATAGCAAAAAAAATACAAATCCCAGTGGTGAATAAATACCACCAAAATAAAGCTTTATCTGTCCCAAAAAAATGGTAAAAAATTCATTTGGGTACAGTGTTGCATGACCGCGCAATTGTCATTCAAAGTGTGATCTTTGGGAGTTCTAAGTAATTTTCTAACAAAAAAAATTGCTGATTTTTACATGTAGTAGAGGAGTGTCAGAGGCTGAAGTGGTTCATTTCCAAGCAAAAAATGCTGAATTAATGTATGTGAAAAATGAGAAAATTGCCCAGTACAGGTAGAGGTTAAAATGGCAATCGTAATTAAAATACTTACTGAAAATACACTATACTTTTCCTTTTATTATTCTATTGTTTTTGTTACTATACTACGTAATGCTCAAACAGTTAAAATGTACTAGCATCTGTCACACAAGATACATCACCAACATTCAAAACAAGACATGACTAAGCGAATGAATCCTCTGTTGGGAACTGATAAATGTTACAATTATCCCTCCTACAGAAGTGTTCAGGAGTTAAGTTAAGCATTTTTTTTTCTACAAGCCTTGACAAAATATTAAATTATTTAAGGCTTTTAACTAATCATGGCTGCTATTGCTGGCTTTGGACATTGGAAACATATTTTTTTTTTATTATTATTATTCAGGCAGAAGAGGATTTTCTCTCATAAACAAGTTTATTCAAAGTACCTTCTGTTGCTTTCTCATGCTATTACTACAGCTAATTGTTAACTAAATTATCTTTCAGTAAAGTGGCACACTGATTGTCTATATATAACCTCATAACTCCACTTTTACTCGATAGTGAAAATATAATTAACAAATGTGGAAGCTTTACATTGCTGAAAGTCAACTCCACCCAAAATGTATAAGTTGTTTTGCGTGGCTGCTGGCAAATGTATTCCCTAGCTGGTGTGACACCACCACCCCCTCTCCACCTCATCCATCCAGAGAACACTTTACTTTCATTGAGAAAATGCAAAGCAATCTCTGAATGGCGCCTGTGCCAAGTGGCCGAGCTTCTGTGTTTGGACTACCGGGCTCGGAATGGGACCTGGAAGCAAGTGGAGATTACAGGAGTAGCGGGGTCTAATACAGTGATTGCCAGTTTTTAAATATCTGATGTGTTTGCATGTGATAGCACTGGATCAATAAAAATGAGGCTTAGTTTTGATGGATGGAACAATGGAGTGTGTCTTCCTTCAAAAGAACTGGAATGTAACCAAGGTATAGCATAGGTTGACCTTATTCAGGTGCTAGGCTGCTACCTCTTTGGTTCCGACAAAAAGAGCACTCCGAAGCAGGGGCGGACTGACCATTTAGAAACTCGGGCACTGCCCGAGGGCCCAGGGTCGGTAGGGGGCCCCATGAGATGCCCCTGGTACCTTTTTCATAGGCTTTTTTTGAGCTTGGATAAGGACACAGGGGCCCCATGATCCCTATTGCCCGGGGGCCCCATGAGTTGTCAGTCCGCCCCTGCTCCGAAGATGATAAACTCTGGGGTGGGTAGAGAGGAGTGCCTAATAAAAGAGTGCTTATCATTCAGAAGTCTTTTTGAAGTGTTTATTGTTAAAATGCAACAAATACAGCAAAAGTATTTCGGGGAAAAATCCTTTCCTTCCCTCAGACCTTGAGCAATGAATGGAATTAGAATCATGATCAGATGCAATAGGAAACCTATGTTAGGGCTTGATAAAGACTATCAAATCTGAACTGCTGCCAGGAAACCCTGTTGGCAGTTCAAAGTGTCATTAAGATTTTAGTCTTTATTGAGCCGTAACGTAGGTCTTCTATATCATCTGATTCTAATAACATTCACTGCTTAATCCCTGAGGAAAGGGTAAGGCCCTTCTCCCAAAAAAACACAATGACTGCATTTGATATTCTTAACTAATAAACATTTCTAACAGTGATATGAATTTATGTACTAGACACTCTTCAATACCTACCCCAGAGTTTCTCCAGCTTACCCTCTAGAGGGATGCTACAGGCTATGGTATATACAGTACATTGGTCCAAGCTTGGGCAATATAACAGTACCTTTACCCCCTCCCCTCCTGTGAAAAATGCTTATACGCCTGGGATTTTTCTTTAAATATATATAAACGTAGTAATAATAATAATTAGTGGAGTTTTGTTTAGAGGGAAAGGGTTAATCCATCAAAAAGTTACAGTTTTAGTTAGAGCTGCAGTATAGTGCGTTGAGGCAACCATTGGTTTTTTTATATGTCCCCAACTCTGGGATCCCACTGCTATGATATTTGAGTCCATGTGGGTGTTTTGGAAGGTTTCACCCACCTTTGTATTTAGCCATTTCTGTTGAATTCTCAATAATATTGAAAAAATTAGTTCAATATTTTTATAAAAACCACAGGCAAAATGGAGACTTAGAAGCTCAAATACACAGATTTCACCAATAGAGTCTCTGATATATACAAAAACCTGTCATGTGGTTTATTCTGCAGATCTAGCAAAAACTGGAATATCAATTCTCGGTGGACTGAACCTTAACAGGGAAACTATAGTAGTTTTGAATGAATTTTTTTTATTAATAATCTTTTAAAGTTTGCAAGTTTTTCAACTAAAAATGACTATTATTGTTATTATCATTGTAATTATTCCTACTATTATTATTAATTTTATACATTTATAATGTTCATTGCAGAAATAAACATGTAATACTATGACACTTGTTTGGCAAAGCATTCTGGGATTTCTAGAAATTTTAAATGGACACAAAAAGTGTATCTCCACCTATGATTGATCACATTCCTTTTAAAGTAATTGTTGTGCCTATGCAGGGTGGAGCACCAGATTCATTTCAATGGCAGCCCAATCTGCAACTTATATTTACCTTCTCGTTACTGCTGTACCACTCCACTGAACCGAAAATACAGCCAAAAAGCATGACTCACTCTACTTCCTTCAATTTAACAGCACTGGTGCTTGGTGACCAACTGTTCTAACACCCAGTACTGTGCTCACAGTTCTCAATTATTTGTGCCAAAGTGAGAAAACAAAGGTAAGACAAGCAAAAGTTGTTTTTTGGCTCTCATTAATGTGAACCTGTTGCTTTGCTCTGCATGGGAAAAGCAAAGGTTTACTTTACATTTACATAAAGCAACATATCTAGTTCTCTATTTGGCTATTGGTTCATGATGTTCTTTGCCTGAGGTACATTCTTCTCTGTGCCTCCAGGACTAGATAGCTGTTGACTTTATAACAGTAGGGTTCTCACAGCATGTCTTCATGTACTTTTGAAGCTTGCTTCTTTATATACATTCCAGGTTCACTTATCTCACTTATCTCCTCCAAGACTCATTTTTCTAGGTACCTCCATGGTTCATTTTTTGTGTACCCCAGAGGACCATTTCTCTATGTACATCCAAGGCTCATTTCTCTGTTTGTCTTCAAGGCTCATTTCTCTATGTACTTCTGAGGCTCATTTCTCTACGTACATCTAAGGCTCATTTCTCTATGTGCCGCAGAAGCTCAGCTCTGTACACAACTGCAAAGCGTGACATTCTTTGTATCTCCAGGGAGACATGAAAGTGATCATGTATACAAATCATTACCCATATTTTTGGTTTATGACCTAGGAATGGGACAAGCTGTCACTACTTAACTACCAAAATGGGATGTCGTAAATAGGAAAAACAAAACAACTTTCCAGGTGAATAGCAATGGATATGCAGTATGTTTTCTAAAAGAAGTAAACTTATCACATAAAACAAGGCATTGTGATGATGTTTGGGAGTGGGGGGGGGGGCAATTTTTTTGTAGTATAGTTTTGAGACACATGGCCTCCACAATGAAACAAAAAAGAAAATGGGTTTATTAATAAAAATGAGACATGTTCCCAAAACCTTGGTCATTCTGCCACAATTGCACATGGGTGATTATGACCCTACTTTGCAGGTTCCATCTACCTTTATATGCCTTTGTGAATTACTACAGTGATGTTAAACCCAAGGATATATTTCTGAAGGCACCATGTATAGTTTACATGAGAAGTGTCCATTGGACTGCACTTTCATCAGTTACAAGCCTGCAGAGAAAGAAATTATAGCCATACTATATGAGCCAGAAAGACTCTTCCCCTTCCTCTGTACAGTACTCAACTAACATGCATCTATACCTCAGTTGTCTATCCAAAAGTTTCCAAATGAACAGGCAAAAAAAAACAATGTATTTCATAAACTCTGGTACTGCCAAACCCACATGCAATTCATGAACTGTAATGGAAGAATATTAAGTTGTCCTGAAATGTTGTGCTGACCTCCAGTATGAAGTATGATCTCAATTATTTTCCAATATCTTTTATACTATATCTGTAATGGATAACTACACTAGTTATAGGTAATGTAGAAGTACTTGAATCTTCAATCCTTCCTGCCAACACTGAGAGGGACCTTAAATCGCAGCTTTAAAGTCTTACCAGAGGTCACCAGAAA